GCCAACTGTGGCCTGATGGGCTGGGGAAAGGAGTCACTGGGAAAAGAAACAGCCCCAGGGGTCCCAGAGGCAGGTAAAACTTATATTTTTAAGCTTTTTTTTTTTAAAAAAAAAATTTATTGATCTAGTAATTGATTGGGAAAAAAAAAAGAGAAGTTGGTCAGTTTTTTTTACTTTATTTACTTCTGTGCTGGGTTAACCTGCTCCTTGGGAAGAAATGGCTTCCCCCCTCCTGTTAGGAAGGGAGGCAGAGAGCACCCCAGGTTCCCCAAAAACTCTGGGGGTTTCATGGGCTGGAGGGATTTTCCCAGTTTTTAGGAAAACCCACCCTGGTGCCTGTCAGTTCCTGAGTGTTTCTGTGCTTCTCCCCCCACCCACAGGAGCCTGGACATCGCTGGATGCCACAAGGTACATGCTGGGAGCTGGTCTGTTTGGCTCCACTGCTTAATTACTGCCATACCAATTAGAGACAGCTGTGGCTGGGAATGCTATCCACCTGGTGGAGATGTTTGGTTGGTTGGGGTTTTTATTATTATTATTATTATTATTATTATTATTTTTAATCTGTCCTTTTTAAGTGTCTGCCTGGTGGAGGTGTTTGGTTGGTCGGGTTGGGGTTTTTTTTATTATTATTATTATTATTAATCTGTCCTTTTTAAAAATCTGATTTTTTTTTTGTTTGTTTTAATCAGCTGCTCCAGCCTCGTGGCACGCTCTGCCGCGGGCTTCGTGAGGTGGTGCCCCAGGTTTGGGTGATAAATGGGCAAACCAGCCAGGAAGGGTTCCTCTGAGCAACAGGGATTATTTTAAAAAAAAAAAAAAACAAAAAACTAAATAAATCAGGGACTTGCTGCTTTTTTCAAATCTTTGGAAATGGGTTTGAGAGCCACCAGGATAAAAAAGCAGGAGGCAAATCTGCCTCGTGCCCCTTGCGGCGCCGAGGGCAGGAGGAAGGAGACCCCAAAAAACAAAATTAAAAGAAAAAAACAAACAAAACAACAAAAAGCCCCATGGGAATCCCTAATAAATCAGGGACTTTGCTGCTTTTTTCAAATCTTTGGAAATGGGTTTGAGAGCCACCAGGATAAAAAAGCAGGAGGCAAATCTGCCTCGTGCCCCTTGCGGCGCCGAGGGCAGGAGGAAGGAGACCCCAAAAAACAAAATTAAAAGAAAAAAACAAACAAAACAACAAAAAGCCCCATGGGAATGGAGGGTAGAAAAGGGCAGTGGTTTCTGCCCGGGCTGGATGGGGATCCCTGGGGATTTGCTGCCCCAGCCAGTACTCCCAGCTGGCAGCAGCCCGGGCTTTCTCGGAAGTTTTAATAAAAAAAGTTGTTGTTTAAAAAGAAATCTCCAACAGAACACAACAATCAATCATTTTCTGAGTTGGCTTTACCCCCCCCCACACCCGGTGTCCCCACGTCAGCAGTGATGCTGGCAGAGGCTTTGCTGTCGTGGGGTGCAATCACAGGCTGCTGACGGCAGAGACTGGGTTCCCCCCGGGCTGGGTAAGGGGTTTTGGGGGTGTGTGCGTGTGTGTGTGTGTGTTTCTGAATTTATTTTTCTCTGCTGGCACAGTGCCACACATTCTTCTCCATCCCAGAAGCTGGAAGCTCCTGTGTGTGTGTGTTCCTGAATTTATTTTTCCTCTGCTGGCACCGTGCCACATGTTCTTCTCCATCCCAGAAGCTGGAAGCTCCTCCAGGAGACCCTGGGCACCCCCTGGGGCAAAGCAGAGGGGACAGGACTTTGGGGCTGGGTGGGATGGAGAGGGCTCGGGGATGGATGTGGGGGGAAGGTCCCGAGAGCTGCTGCAGAGAAGTGGCTCATTACTAAAATAATGAAATTACTACTAAATTTACTAAAATAAACCCTAATAATGGGTGCTTTTACATCTTGAACAGCTCAGACCCATCACTTGGCCTGATTTGCCAGCAGGGAGGGAGATGAGGTGGAATTGGGCTTTCCTGTTTGTAATTAAAGCTAACGGGAGCCCAAACGTTAATGCTAATCAAGAGGCTGGGTAATTAATGCAGGTGGCAGAGCACACGTTGCTGCCCAAAGCCTCCCCTGAGGCAGGCACTGTTTTCTCACCTGGTTTTAGGGCCAAAATCTCTGCCTGCCCACTGCACCAGAGGAGATGGGACACTGCTGCCCTGGTGGTTTGTCCCTGCTGAGGCTGCTCCACTCCAGGAGACCCTGGGCACCCCCTGGGGCAAAGCAGAGGGGACAGGACTTTGGGGCTGGGTGGGATGGAGAGGGCTCGGGGATGGATGCGGGGGGAAGGTCCCGAGAGCTGCTGCAGAGAAGTAGCTCATTACTAAAATAATGAAATTACTACTAAATTTACTAAAATAAACCCTAATAATGGGTGCTTTTACATCTTGAACAGCTCAGACCCATCACTTGGCCTGATTTGCCAGCAGGGAGGGAGATGAGGTGGAATTGGGCTTTCCTGTTTGTAATTAAAGCTAACGGGAGCCCAAACGTTAATGCTAATCAAGAGGCTGGGTAATTAATGCAGGTGGCAGAGCACACGTTGCTGCCCAAAGCCTCCCCTGAGGCAGGCACTGTTTTCTCACCTGGTTTTAGGGCCAAAATCTCTGCCTGCCCACTGCACCAGAGGAGATGGGACACTGCTGCCCTGGTGGTTTGTCCCTGCTGAGGCTGCTCCAGGTCCCAGGAGATACCTCGGGCTTTCTTTTGGGTGTTTTTCTTTCACTTTGCTGTCCCTGCGTGGTGTTTTGGGGCACCCCCGGGATGCCCATCAGTGGGGAGGGGGCTCAGCATCCTGTGGGGCAGATGAGGGGGCCCCCAGGGGCTAGGGGACAGCAAACGGGCAGAAGTCCTTTGGCTTCACCTCCTGGTGGCCAGCGGCGTGTCTTGAGCCCCTGGGAGCTGAGAGGATGAGGAGGGAGTGATGGCTGCACTCAGGAACGTGCAGAACAAACCCCTTCCTGGGTGTTTTGTGCTCTGGAGACAGCCTGGGCTTGGCTCTCTGCTCTCTCCATCCTGCCCGGGCTTTCGGTGTCAGGAAATACCCTCGGGGCACCACAACGTGCACCCCTCACCTGGAACGCTGCAATGATGCTCTTGTATTTCCCTTTTTTGGGGGTTTTTTTGGTTTGTTTGGGGTTTTTTTGTATCTATCAGCACAATTCCTGGAAACAGGCAGGCGGCAGAGGCGATGCTCTTGGCTTACTTGATGGTGTTTTTCCCACTTTTCTTGCAAACCCAGAAGGTCTCTGGAATTGTAAGCCCTTTTCCATGTGCGTATGGAATCTACTGGATGCAGAAGTGATGCTGGAAGGGAGAGAAAGCCCACACCGTGTGTTTGATGGAGACTGAAGGGCTTTCAGGAGAGCGATGGGACAGAGCCCTCTGCCTGGGCAGGAGCCGATGCCCGGTGGTTACCAGGGTTGGTGGCCAGAGCTGTTGCCTCGGGTTCCACCTGGGGCGAGAAGGTGAAGTGGAGACACGTCTACGTGATGGTGATGTACCAGGGGAGGGCAGGGAATGCACCGGCAACACCGAGTAAATGGATGAGGTGTGGGTCTCCCACCCCAACAGAAGGAGATGAGAGAGTTGGGGTGTCCAGCCTGAGAAGAGAAGGCTCCAGGGAGACCTTGGAGCCCCTTCCAGTCCCTCAAGGGGCTCCAGGAGAGATGGGGAGGGACTCTGGATGAGGGAGGGGAGCCTTTGGAGGAGGGGAAAGGGTTTGACCCTGCAAGAGGGGAGATGGAGCTGAGATGTGGGGAAGAACTTGTTTGCTGTGAGGGTGAGCCTGGCCCAGGTTGGGCAGAGAAGCTGTGGCTGCCCCATCCCTGGAGGGGTTCAAGGGCAGGTTGGAGGGGGCTTGGAGCAACCTGGTGTGGTGGGAGGTGTCCCTGCCCAGGGCAGGGGGTTGGAACTAGATGATCTTTAAGGTCCCTTCCAACCCGAACCATTCCATGATTCTAAGAGTTTAAAAAACACTGTGAGTTATTTTGGAAAATAAAAGTGAAATTTCTCATTCTGGAGATGAGGTTGCTGGCACTGAGGTGGGGGGGCTCAGGCAGGGATTGGGGGGGGTCATGCTCCATCCTGCACAGTCCCAGCCAAATCCATCTCATTTCTCAGGTCACTGGGAGGCCCAAGGTTACCAGGGGGTACCGATGCTCTCCAGTAGAGACAGGAACCAAAATGAACTGGGCTTTCTTCTTGTTTTCACTGAAGGTCGGCTCTGGTGAGCGTGGCAGTGCTAACGCTGTCCACAAAGTAATTACTCTAAGGCCTTAATTAGCTTTACATTGATTTCCCCACATTCTGCCCATTAATCCTCTCCCGCTCACACAGTTCTCCCTTTGTGGATGGAGCCCCCCCGCCCCCGTAGGTGAGGCCAGGGCTCCTTTTGAGTCACTTTAATTTCATTTAGTGCTTTCCTTTGACCACCGTTTCAGCTCATCCGTGTTTTATGGCTACAGCACAGGCTGGGTTAATGCCCTGGTTTATCTTTGCACAGCACAGCTCCATGAGCTGAGGTATCGTTATCTGCTTTCCTTGGTGTATTTTGGTCTTGTTCTACTGCAAAAAACCCGCCAAATTTGGGCTTGGGGTGTTTTCCCAGCTGGGTTTGCCACCCTCCTGCCTCAGGGTGCTTCACCTGCAGCCCCCCCAAAACTCAGCGGGTGTTTGGTAGGAGGGTCTGGGGGGGCTCAGAGGAGCAGAGACGGGGGTTTGGGGTGCAGAGTGGGGAAACTGGGGATGTGGGGATGCCCAGAGGCCCCATCTTGGGTGATGGGCTCATGCCTCCAGCTGGCTGGATACCCAAATACCCGCAGAGAGCCCTCTTTGGGGTCACTCAACGAGTGTTTTTGGTGTTCTTGCTTAATTTTTTAGCCCATTATCTCCCAGGCTGGGAGCTGGGACCTCCTCCTGCCCACGGAGCTGATGGCCATGCCCCCTCCCAGCCCTCCCCACCGCCCCGGGGGTGCAGAAAGCCTTGCCAGCAGCATTGAGGGTGCTTTCTAAAGTCTTTATTGGGGCTGCAGGAATTCACCGGTGGGGTGGGCAAGGAGCCACGGGCTCGGTGGCACCTTCCTCTCCCCGTGTGAGGACCAGCAGCCATCTGCAGGTCATCCTCCAGCTCCTCTCGAGGTCTGGCTTCCCTGCGTGCCCCACAGAGCTCAGACCCAAAGGTATGGCCGTGAGACCTTTCCCCAGCCCCATAACTGGCCAGAGAAAGGGTCCCCGATGCCCAGACCCACAGCTGCTCACCTTGGGGCAGTTTATCCCAGCAGGCAGGATCCCCCATCGCACACGTCTCCCAGCTCTGAGCCCACCTGGGAAAAAAAAAAAGGAAAAACAGCCGAGGGGCAGCCCCAGGTCTGGTTGCCGAGGTGCTGGGGGATTTTGGGCAGGGGGGAAACACGTCTTTACCTTGTCGATGCAGTAGAGGGGGGCTATGCTGGGGGCACAGCAAGTGGAGGCGAATTGGACTCGCCGCTCCGCCAGCCGCTCCAGCAGCACGGGGGTGGCCTCTGGCATCTGCTTTGCCAAGCTCTCCTGCAGCCTGGGGACCAGAGGGGTCTAGTGAGGGTCCGGGGGCATTAAATACATATATGGAGTATTTTCTGGGGGGGAAGCACACACGGGAGCGGGGCTGGATGCCCTGCAAGGGAAGTGTTCTGTTCTTCCATATATTTTGCTGCTATTTAGGCTCAAAGCTATAAAGTCATAGAATGGTTTGGGCGAGAAGAGACCTTAAAGTCCATCCGATGCCACCCCCTGCCCTGGGCAGGGACACCTCCCATCACACCAGGTTGCTCCAAGCCCCCTCCAACCTGCCCTTGAACCCCTCCAGGGATGGGGCAGCCACAGCTTCTCTGCCCAACCTGGGCCAGGCTCTCACCACCCTCACACCAAACAAGTTCTTCCCCACATCTCAGCTCCATCTCCCCTCTTTCAAGGTCAAACCCTTCCCCCTCCTCCTAGGGCTCCCCTCCCTCATCCAGAGTCCCTCCCCATCTCTTCTGGAGCCCCTTGAGGGACTGGAAGGGGCTCCAAGGTCTCCCTGGAGCCTTCTCTTCTCCAGGCTGAACCCCCCAACTCTCTCAGCCTGTCCTCCCAGCAGAGGGGCTCCAGCCCTCCCAGCATCTCCATGGCCCCTGGCCCCGCTCCAACAGCTCCATGTCCTTCCTTTGCTGGAAGGACATGGACCTTGAACCACAAGCCATGAACCACTGGCTCTGTTTCTGTGTCCTCAAAATTTGGGGCAATGCATCCTCTAATCCAGTTTTGGGGAGTGGATGGGGGGGGGGGGGGGGGAAAGTCTTACTCCTTCCTTAAGCCGCTGTAGCTCGTCATGTACTGCTTGCAGAGCTGGTCGGCCTTCTCCAGGTAGGGGATCAGCCTTTCTGCCATCCACAGGCGCTGGGGGGGGCAGAGGGTGGCTGTCACCAGGCTGGGAAAAGCCTCTGCAGGGGTATGTTTTTTGGGAGGGGGGGGGACACACTGCCAGAGGGGAAGACAGCAGGGCCAGCCAAGGGAGCCATCCCTGCCCCTCACCTTGCTGTCCAGGCAGGCGGAGGTGTCCTTGGCAGAGCAGCACTCCTCCCTGGATTTTTCGGAGGCGTCGTACAGCTTGCTGAGGACGGCATCAGGGACCCCGGTGTACCTCCGTGTCAGCTCAAACAGGGACCTGGAGCGGGGAAAAACGGGTCACAGAACGGGTCTTTTCTTGCCATTTCGAGTTGCGTGAGTTTTTAGCACTTAAACGTCAAATGTGGGTCGTTTTCTTCAGAAGCACCTGAGGAAGAAAATGGTGCTATAGCTGTAATTTTGTGTGTCGCAGAATCATAGAATGGTTTGGGTGGGAAGGGACCTTAAAGCCCACCCAGTGCCACCCCCTGCCCTGGGCAGGGACACCTCCCACCACACCAGGTTGCTCCAAGCCCCCTCCAACCTGGCCTTGAACCCCTCCAGAGTGTCTATGAAGTTTAAACAGTTTTTCTTTGGTTCTGAGCATTCCACAGAAACACGGTTCCATAGTCTCCTGCAGATGCCAACCTGCAGGAGAAATTGTCCTATATCGTGATGACCTGCTAGGCGTGGGATGGGCGCATCTTTGTGCCCCCCTGGGGGAAGAGAGGATGCTCCCCTGCTTCTCCTAACAATAACCAAGCCATATAACGAAGACAAGGGGAGGAATGGGGGGGTCAGCAGCTTGGCTGCCCCATGGGTACCGCTCACCTCTTGGCGTAGTGAGCCCCCTCCTCGCCGCAGAGCTGCTCATTCGTCAGGTTCTGCAGCTGGGGCAGTTTGGGGGTGGGCGCCGATGGCAAAATCGTGATGTACATATAGTTCTGCATGGGGTTCGGCCCCTTGCAGCTGCCAGCGAACCTCTTCTCTCGGGTGGGCAGCACCTCGCAGACTTTGGCCGTGTGCTCCGATAGCTGCAAAAGAGGGAGCAAGAGGCTGAGAGGGGATGGCCATGCACAGAATCACAGAATCTTCTAGGTTGGAAGGGACCTCAAAGATCATCTTGTCCAACCATCAACCCAACTGACAAAAATAGACACCCACACAACAAACAAGGAGCATCATCACTAAACCATACCTCCCAGCACTACATCAGCCTGTCTTTTGAACACCTCCAGGGATGGTGCCTCAACCACCTCCCTGGGCAGCCCATTCCAATGGCTGAGAACCCTTTCGGTGTAGAAATGTTTCCTAATATCCAGCCTGAACCTCCCCTGGTGTAACTTGAGGCCATTTCCTCTCGTCCTGTCGCCTGTGACTTGGGAGAAGAGACCGCCCCCCACCTCTCTACCCCCTCCTTTCAGGGAGTTGGAGAGAGCAATAAGGTCTCCCCTCAGCCTCCTCTTCTCCAGGCTGAACACCCCCAGCTCCCTCAGCCTCTCCTCACCAGACTTGTGCTCCAGACCCCTCACCAGCTTTGTTGCCCTAACAAAGGACTCCCCAGGATGGGGCTCCGCTCCCCTAAGCTGGGAGGTGGTTTTGGGGTGGTCTCCTGGCTCCCCTACCTTCTTCCGCAAGCAGTCCTCGTTCAGCGAGTTGCAGCACTGGGAGAAGACCTCGGCAGCATCTTCTGCCAGGGGGAGAAGGTCCTCGAAGGAAGCACCGGGCGCCTTCTGAGCCAACGTGGTGAGGTAGCTGGGCAGGCACAGGGCATTCCAGGGGCTCAGGGAGCTCAGCTCCCATTTCCCCTGGAATATCCCCAAAACAGGGGGTTTGCAGGATGAGGGGTGCAGGGGGGAGGTGGTGGGGAGCTCTGCCCCTCCGCTGGGCAGGATGCCTTGGCACGTTTGGTTTTACACCTTAATTAAAACTTGTCTTTGGGATCACTGCCTGGCAACAGGATCCACAGCTCAAAATAGGACCGGGCTCAGGGTGGAGGAGAGAAAAGGCCATTTTCCCCTTTTACCTTAGGGTGACTTTGTCCTTCCCGTACACCGTGAGGCGGGAGCAAAACATGACTGACACCCCAATGAGGAAGGTGAGGCTTCTCCTTTCCTGTTCCTGCCAGGAAAAAAAAAAACAAAAAACGATAGAGGGAATTCAAGCCTTTCCCAGACACCTCTCCTCGGTGCTCGCCTGGCTCCCCAGGGAGCAGGGATGGGGATGAGTCCAAACGGGGGGGTCTGAAGGGTCTCACCTTCGTCTGGAAGCAGGAGGTGCGGTCGTAGGAGGTGCAGCAGGTGGAGACCATGGAGAGGAAGTTGTTGGTGGAGCTCAGGAGCACGGGCAGGGGTGCCTGGCCATAGATGCTGGCGTATTCGTGCAGAAACCTGTGGCAGAGGAGGACTAAGGGCACCCGGTGCTGGAAGGCAGGAGATGTGGGGTTTTGGGGGTATTAGGGTTGTCCAGGGATGGGAACCCTCTCCAGGCACCACCCCGTGCTGCTGGCTCAGTCCTCCAAGCAGCAGTGGCCCCTCTCCAGCCACTCGCGCTGGTGATGGCACCCCTCATCCTTTTGGTAAAATCCTGTTCCTGGTGCCTCTGTGAGTGCAGAACACCCCCATTTTTTCCTCTGATGGACCGGTAGCCCCATGGCCATTGAAAGCAGAGGGTTTTTACTCTGATGGACCACCAAGAGCAGAGGGGTGAGACCAGGAGAGGTTTGCTTGGTGGGCATCCAGATGTTGGCTGGCACCTGGGCTCAACAGGGGGTCATCAGGGAGCCCGGGGGCCATCTCCATCCCACTGTACCTGTCGGCAAAGTCCCTGGGGTCCTTCTTGAAGGCCTGGCAGAGCTCTCCATCGGTGGGCTGAAGGTACTGGGGTAGCTGCTTGGGGGGGTGCTGCAGGGCAGCCAGGCACAGCTTCTGCTCCAGCCCCTCCTGGGCACAGCAGCCGGCCGTGCCGGGGTGGGACGGGAAGGGCGAGTTCTTGCTGCAGGATTTGGCCGAGAGAGCTGAGGACTGGGGGATGGAGAGGAGGTTAGGTGCCGGGGAGACTCCCATCCCATCCCATCCCACCCTCAGATTAGATCTCAGGAAGAAATTTTTTACTATGAGGGTGGTGAGACACTAGAACAGGTTGCCCAGGGAAGTTGTGGCTGCCCCATCCCTGGAGGTGTCCAAGGCCAGGCTGGATGTGGCCTTGAGGAACTTGCTCTAGTGGGAGGTGTCCCTGCCCAGGGCAGGGGGGCTGGAACTCGATGATCTTTGAGGTCCCTTCCAACCCAAACCATTCTATGATTCTATGATCCCATCCGAGTCCCAACCCTGGTTCTGGTGGGGGGGTTGTCCATCATCTGGTTGGGGTCAGGCTCACCCCGGCATCGTAGCAGGAGGGGTCGGCCCCCTCGGCGCAGCAGGTTTCGGCCAAGGAGACGATTTCCCGGACGAGGTGGCTGATCTCCTCGAAGGTGGCGTTGGAATATTTCCTGCTGTTGGCGACGATGGTCCTGGGAGCAGGGAGGAAGCAGAGGATGAGCTGGAGGGTGTATTTCCCACACTTAAAAATACAAATCACGTCGCAGCATTGTTTTTCCAAACGGGGGCTTAACCCCCTTAGCCAGAGAGCAGCAGCTGCAAGAAATACCAGCATATTCCTTGGAAAACAGGCGGGAAAGACCCGGAGTGGGTCCCAGGCTGGGGGTTGCCCTTCCCAGCTCTGTTAGAATTCCTCATTATTTAAGCACCTAATTGGTTTTGAGGAGTTCAACAATGAAGTAGACTTTTCTCCTGTTAGGAACAATCAGAGTCCTCATATCGTTTTTCCAAACGGGAGCTTAACCCCCTTAGCCAGAGAGCAGCAGCTGCAAGAAATACCAGCATATTCCTTGGAAAACAGGCGGGAAAGACCCGGAGTGGGTCCCAGGCTGGGGGCTGCCCTTCCCAGCTCTGTTAGAATTCCTCATTATTTAAGCACCTAATTGGTTTTGAGGAGTTCAACAATGAAGTAGACTTTTCTCCTGTTAGGAACAGAGTCCTCATTTGCAGGGTGTGAATAAATCTTCTCCTTTCTAAGATTATTTTTATTTTTTAAATTTTTTTTTTTGGTCTCGGCTGAGGTTCTGAGTGTCCTGGGAGGGCAAATACGGCAGGAGGTACCTACAGGGTTCGGAATTTCTCCTTCCCCAGGATCCCGAAGTCCTGGCAGACTTTGTCCCGGACATAAGCTTTACCTGTAAGTGCAGAAAAAGGAGGATTTGTGAGCAGGGTTTGTGCCTCGGGTGGTGCTCCCAGGGATCTGGGATCCTGTGTTGGGAAAACACCAGCTTTGCTTCCCCCGCAGCGATGCTCCCGAGCCCTTCCTTTTGGGGGCAATAGAGCTCTTTTCCAGGTTTCTTAATTGAGTCTCATATGGAAAACATACGGAAAACACCTCTTTTTTTTTTTTTTTTTTTTTTTTTGCCAGGGAAAATGATGATTTGGAAACCAGCCTGTAAAAACCCTTATCCAAATGGAGGGAAAATGATGATTTGGAGACCAGCCTGTAAAAACCCTTATCCAAATGGACTTTTTTCCCACTTTCGAAATGCGTGGTGCTGGTTTTTCCAGCAGGGTCCGGAGTCCCTCAGGGCTTGGGGGCTCTGGAGACAGGCCCAGGGAGGGCAGGAGCACCCCGGGGTGAAGGCATCCCCGGTGACTCCCCCATCCCTGGACAAATGCTATCGATTTGTGCTATGAAGCCCCTGGGTTAGACTTTGGTACCAGCAGGGTAAATACTGACACTGGTGTATTTGCTGGTATTACAGTAGGGAGCGGGGTCACCTCCCCAAAAACGAGCCCTGTTATGCTGAAGGTCACATCACTTGGGTGGCAAAGGAAGGGTTTGGTGGGGGGGAGGGATTTTTGCAAGGCAAAAGCTGGTGGCACAGAGGAAAAAGGAGAAACTGTGGTAAAAAGCACCTCCGGTCCTGCTGGAGGTGCTAACTTGTCATATTTCTTTCAATTTTTCATGAAGTGGTATGGGAGAGGGAAGTTTGGAGGTTTTGGTTTTTTTTTCTGGAGGGTGGATGATTCCCTGCAGAGCTGTGAAGGCAGCAAAGGGGGGGCACAGAGCATCACTTCCATCCCAAGGGGTGGGTTTTGCACTGAAACAGGTCAGAAAATCCCATTTTTCCTGGCTAAGGGAGGAAGCCGAGCCCTGCAACACCATCCTCTCCTCCTCTGACCCCAGCCCAGCTCCTCCAGCATCACCCCAAAGCGTGTCCAGGTACCAAAGCATCATCTCCCACCTTCCCTCTCCTCTCTCTGATTCCTGCCCAGCAATTCCACAGCGGGATGGGGAGAGGGGAGGTCGCCAAAAATCACCAGAGCTGAAGGACCCCCACCTTGTCCCCCTAATTCCTGGGGAGGGGAGCAAAGCCCCAGGGTGGGATAAATGCCCTTACCTCGGTGCATGGCATGGGTAGTGGCTAAAAGCAGCAGCAGGGCGAGAGCCACCTTCATCTTGGGGCTGGTTTCCCTCCTCCTGCCAAAAAGCAGCGCAGGGAACCCCCATCCTGGTGTTTATATGGAGGTGGTGCTAATTGCTGGGTGAATGATTAACCCCGTTGGCGTTGGCGGGGCAGAGGGCGAGCATCCTTGGCCTGGCTGTCAGTGCCTCCAAAAATCAGACAGGTTTTAATCATTAACTCAGCAAAAAGGGGTGTGTGTTGCTGTTTCCCCCCCCCCCCCCCCCCCCCCCCACAGAAAGCCCAGGTCAGGGAGGACGATGGCTAATTGGTTCTGCGGGGTTTGGATGGTAACGACTCAGACCAATTATAAAATCACCGGGCGGCGAGGGGACAACAGGGTCAGGACCCTGCTGGGGCC